CCCCATTAACATTCAGCTTCAAATCACCTCCAGAAGGTGGCTCCCACTTCACCTTATTAACCTTGGTAATACAATGAAAGTGAGAGACAATTTTTAGATCCTTTGAAAAATCCTTACCTCTATAATCATCCCCCCTAGCTAGTTTCACTAGGAAAGACTGCCATCTCAAAGCACTTGTAACTTGCATAAAGATTGCAAAGGAATTCAAGCAAACTCCCTCATATCTTCTTCTGTATCTCTCTTTCCAAATGGCCCAGAAAATAAGCAAAGCAACTCCTCTAATCAGATAGTGACTCAGAGAATGATTTTTGAAACTCCTAACTAATCTCAGTAACCTGTACATAGGGGATTCCCCTAAAATGAGAACAAACCCCATCACAGAAGAAGTCCTCCACCATACAGCATGGGCAAAGGAGCAGTTGATAAATAAGTGCTGAAGAGTTTCCTCACCCATACCACACATATTGCATTTACTAATCAGAGAAACACCCATACTCCTTATCCTATCATCAGAGGTCAAAGCATTTCTGTATATTTTCCAGGCACACAGCTGTGCGCCAGGGAATGTCTTTTGAGCCCAAATACTCTTAGCCAAAGCGTTTTCCACACCCTTTCTTCTAAGTTGATGCCATGCAGTCTTAATAGAGAATTCCCCTGAGCTATCATGCCTCCAAATTCTCTTATCAGGAGCATCAGACCAGGTCACTACAGTATTGATAATTTCATTTTGCACTTGGGGAGGCAGTCATTCAGACACAACATCAAGGTTCCAGCCCTCATCATTCCAAAGCTCCTTAACCCTGGGAAAAATCAAAGGAATCTCCTCAACTCTAGGAATCAGAGGGTCAGCATCCATCCAGGGATCACACCAAAAGTCAGCCGTATGACCATTCCCCAAAATCATTAAGGAATTAAGGGCCACCAATTCAAACCAAGGTTTTAAAATCTTAAAACTCTGCCCAGCACTAGAGTTGATACATCTCAGCATGTGGTTACCTTTGAAGTATTTTTCCTTAAAAACTTTAGCCCATAGGGAATGGCCATTCAGAATGCCCTAAACCTGCTTAACTCTGAAAGCAAATTGGATTTCACAAAAGTTCCTTATTCCCAAACCACCTTCATTCTTCGGTTTAGAAATATTTTCTAAAGAAACCCAATGTCTCCTCTTGGCATCCAACTTGTTAGACCACACAAAATTAGCAATAAGGGAATTAAGTTTTCTTAAAATTCCTTTAGGGATATTCATACAAGCAAGCATGTGAATGGGGATGGAATTAAGAACAGATTGTATCATCACAACTCTGCCCATACCAGACAACATATTTGCATACCAACCCTGAACATATTCACCACCTCTTCAAAGTAGGACATCCTCATCCTACCTCTGATAAAAGGACATCCTAGATAAGTAAAGGGACAGTTTTTGATGGAAATTCCAACCACAGAAGCCAACTTATTTCTTCTAGCAGCAGGAATCCATTTGGAGCAATACATTGCACTCTTCAGTCTATTAACCTTTTGCCCAGAGCACCCTTATAGAGCTCAACAAACTTCATCAAATTCATAGTGGATCTCTTAGTACCTCTAAGAAAAACCAAAGTATCATTAGCAAAGAGCAAGTGGCTCATCACTGATGTGCCCCTTCCCATGTGAAAGTGTGAAACTAACCTCTGTTGAAAAATGCTTCTTAAGCCTCTACTTAGAACCTCATCTGCAAGGATGAATAGAGTAGAAGAAAGGGGATCACCCTGTCTCAAACCCCTAGAATTAGAAAAATAACCATGCCTCTGCCCATTTAAGCAAATAGAAAAGGATTGTGAAATCAAACAATTCAAGATAATTTGGGTGAAAAGATCTGAAAACCCAAAGCAACCCAACACCTTCAAAAGAAAATCCCATTCAAGCCTATCATAGGCTTTCATCATATCCAGCTTTAGAACCATGTTTCCACCCTCCACCTTCCTGTCCAGCTCCCCTACCAATAACTGGTCCAGAGCCATACAATCACCAATGCCCCTCCCTGGCACAAAGCCATGTCACTCCTCAGACATCAGCAAAGGAAGTATTGAAGAGATTCTAGTGTTCAGAAGCTTTGTGAAGATTTTATATAAAAAGTTACATAGGCTAATAGGCCTAAAGTCAGAGAAGGAAGGTGGGTCATCCTTTTTTGGAATAAGCACCAGCAAAGTAGAATTCACAGACTTAGGCATTAGCCCACCCTTCAACAAGAAATTGATAGCTTTCCAAACATCAAGACCAATGATATCCCAAGCAAATTGGAAAAACTTACCAGATAGACCATCCGAACCAGGGGCACTCTTAGGTGCCATAGAAAAAACCACATCCTTTATCTCCTGCAAAGAAGCATCAATGCTCATTATCCAAATCAGACACCAATCTAGGAATGACATCAAAAATCTGATCAAGCAAAGCATGAGATTCTGATTTATACAGATTAGAAAAAAAATCCTCAGCCACCTCAATAATCAGCTAATCCCCATAAACCCAAGCTCCCTCCTTATTCTTGATTCTTGAAACTTTATTTCTAGTACACTTGCTCTTAGCAATCGCATGGAAAAACATTGTATTCCTCTCCCCTTTAATAGCCCATTTAATGTTAGCTTTTTGTTTCCAGTATATATCTTCCCTTCTCAGCAGATCATCCATATCAAATTTCAAAGCTGCAAGATCAGCTGCCCTCTAGTCATTATAACTCTGATCCAAATCAATCTCTGCCCGCTAATTTTCTGTTCAAGAGCTTTAATTGAGTCAAATAAATTCCCAAAAACATCTTTGTTCCTTCTTTTTATATGAGCCTTCAAGTATTTTAGCTTGATAAACAAATTGGACATACGATTATCAAAGTACTGCTCATACCAATTATCTGCAATCAGCCTTAGAAAATCTACATGATCACACCACATATCTTGAAATCTGAAATATGAAATCCTCTTCTGAGCAGGCCTATCCATAATTTTCAAACGTAAAGGACTATGATCAGAGGAGCCCCTGGCAAGATCCACAACCTCCGTACTCTCATACTTGATACCCCAGTTCCCATTCATCAAGGCTCTATCCAACCTTTGCAACATTTTAATATGACCCTGCCTATTATCACACCAGGTAAATTTATTGCCACTAAAGCCACAATCCACCAATCCTCTTTGGTCCAAGAAGTCACCAAATTCCTCCATAGAGGAAAGAAAAGGGAATGCTCCTCCCTTTCGTCCATCAGAGGACAAAATGGAATTGAAGTCCCCAAAAACAAGCCAAGGCATATTTACAGGAATAAGCAAATCATTCAAATGCAGCCATAAATTCTTCTCAAAATCTACTTACATTTTGCATAGACCACAGAAAGCCAGTATATCATCTCAGTATTCATAAAACTGAGCTCCACAGTTAAAGCTTGCTCGTGCTCAAAAAGAACTTTGATTTTAACTCTATCATCCCATAATATACAAGTGTTCCTCTCTGCTAAAGTATTAGCACAAAAGTGTTTCATGCCAATACACTTGGCAAAGGCAGGCAATTTACTTACCAACAGTTTAGGCTCCCGAATAGCCACAAAGCAAACATCATTCAATATTATCAATTTCTTTAGTCTTCTTCTTTTACCATCCTTCTCAGCACCCCTCATATTCCAGGAAATGAGATTCATCATGAGTTAAAAGAAGGAGACATTCCACTAGAGCTATTTCTAGTACCTTCATCCTCCTCATGAAATGAGTTATCAGATTCACCAATTACTTCTCTATGAGTATCAGAGCTGCCTTGGTCTGAAAATTACCCCTTATCAGGAGGCAACCTATCACTCACCAGTCCCAGTTGATCATCCACAACATCTGTACATCCTCTCCTTGCCGCATACTTATGATCCACCAAAAAAGATGACCCAAAGATGGGGCATAAAGGACATTACAATCCTCCAAATGTTCCCTAGATTCCTCTCTTCTCACAACGGTATTCATTATAACATCCTCCACCTCCTCCAACGTCACAACATTTAAGCCATCAGTAACATTAGTAGCAAAATCAGCTAGAGGAAGGGAAGAGAAAACCTCCAAACTACTCCCCACATTATCACAAGCATCCATTGCAACATTCATCTGCACGAAATCCTCAGCAGCATTTTCCACTAGATAAAGATCAGTCGTAGTACCTGTTCCATTTAAGTCCTTCCTTAGTCCATCATTAGACTCCAGATTAATACCATCCATAGCCGAAGGACCAAACGTCTTTCCCTCAGTCTGCAGTAAATTTGAATTTTCCTTTCCATTCTGAGATTCTTTTGGCACTTGAACAGGATTAAAACTCAAAGGTTCATCCCCAATATCTCCCCTTTGTTGTGCCTGGGCATCCCTCTCTATAACATTCTCAACCTCCATCCTCTCATTGGCATCATTTAAAACAGCAAAGCTATTAAGCATTACTGGTTGTTTAGCTACATTCTTTTACCTATACTCTTTTCTTGGTTTTCTTTTATGAACTTCATTAGCTACAGCTTTCCCTTTTCTATCCTACCAACCTTCTTCATGGTTAGAACCATTGGCTTGAGCAGAGGTCTTTTCAGTAACAACATCACCCTCCTCCTTATTCTTCTTTCTACACAGAGAATCATCATGTCCTTGCTTAAGACAAACAGGACAGTATTTATATTTCTTTTCATACACAATTCTTTGCCACCTACCACTTGTCCCACCCATATCTAACCAAAAATGCCTTGGATTAATGGCCAATAGGTTCATCTCAACACAAACTCTAGCAACCCCCGGCCTTGTCAGTTGCAAAATAGCATTATCAATAACCAGGATTCTTCCTATAGGGCTTAGAATATCTCTTAGACTCTCCCTATTGAAAAGATGGATGGGGAGCCCTAGTAGGGAAACCCAAACAGGAACCAAAGGAGGTTCAATTCCAAGCTAAACTTTTGGAAACCACTTAAAGAACCGGAATAGGAAGCCCTCAATGTATGTGGTATCCTTGAGCCATACTTTAACTTAATCTTCATAATTAGAAAATCTAATGAGAATATGCCTTGGGTCCAACACTCCAACGATAAAGTCTCCCTTCAACAACCACCTTGTGTTGATAAACTCCTTCACAACTCCTAATGATGGTTTGCCATAAGCACACTTGCCTATCAAGGTCAGTTTAAAACTCCTAGAGTGTTCCTGAGTTTCATCTGGGGACCAGTACATATCTGGTTCCCCATTGTTGAAGACAACCGTTTTTGCAAGCTTGGAAAAGGATGCAAAGATAAAAAGGCCAACTGGGATGCTTACAGGAGGGATCGAAACATCTTGGTTTATCTGGGAAGATGAGGCACCTGCTTGAAACATAGGTCCTTGTGCAGGAAATAGGGTTTGAGAATGTGGTAAATTAACATCATGAGTGATCTGGATGATTGGCGTAACATTTGGGATTTGAATTCCTATTGCTGGTGAAGAGATTTGAGTGTTTGCAGGAGTGCTCGCAGTCGAAGGGAATAACGACGGTGAAGTGAAGTTAGTAATCGACTGATTTTGGTGTAAAGGAAGAGGGGGAGGCATATGGGTGGAGTTAATACAGCCCAGGGGGTTAACAAAAGGAGAAGGAAACGACACAGAACCAGTAGGAATGATGCGTACGTTTTTGTTGTATATGGGTTTCTTGAATAATGATGCAAAATTGTTGGTGATGATTTGTGATTTGGTTGGGGGATTTGGCGAAATATGAGGGGTTATGTAGGGAATCTGAGGAATATCAGGTGGTTTTGGTGGGATATTGTTCAAAACCTGGGCAGAATCCATAATAAATGCACAAAACAAACCGAAAAAAGCAAGAACCAATGGGAAAAGAGTAAAGGTAGAGAGAAGTGAGAGCTTCTCTCACTAGAAAACAAGGACTGCCTCTCCTAAACCCTTTTTTTTATTACACATTGTTCTTCTATTCTGATATACATGTAATATATGAAAACCCCACCATCAATGAGAGACTAGAATTCTGCACTAGTAAACAGAATAGTCTGCTTAATATCCCCAAAATCAACAAATAAATGGATCAGATCACAAACCAGCCTCCAAAATCAGGTAGGCAATTTTCAACATCCAACTGCCTAAGTAGACCCCACTATAATCAAGAAGATATCAACCAATACCCTGTCTTTGCCCACAAATCATTCTCATCAGTCTGGCAATAGGCAAACCACTCTGATCTTGATGTAGTATTACCCTCCCAACAAGTGGCAAAATAGTACCACCAAGGAACTCAGTACATCTTCCATTTTGAACAGCAAAGGAGGCTAAAAAATCAGCAAGGCCATTAGCTTCCCTATAAATGTGATTAATTTGCAAATTCAACATACCAAACAACAGCTTAATCCTTTCCAACCAATATTGCAATTTCCATGGAACATCTGCTAAGCCCATCACCATCTGAACTATAGTTTAAGAGTCAGATTCCACAATAATTTGAAATGCTGACAAACCATGTTGAAGGATCAACAATAAACCATCAAGCAATGCCATGCACTCAGCTACCATATTTGAACCCAACCCAAAATAGCAACCAGCAGCTAAGATAACTCTCCCTTCATGATTCCTCACCACCACCCCACCACTTGACAATCCAGTTTTTCCTTTAGAGGCACCATCAACATTAAGCTTCAGCACATTTGTAGGAGGAAGTCTCCATTTAATCCATTTGACCTTAGTGATTAAGGAAAAAGGATTTTGAATTTTCAACTCTCTCAAAAATTCCTTTTCCTTACAATCATCAATAGACCCAGGCCTTATAAGAAATGTCTGCCATCTCAAAGCACTCACTACTTGTAAGAAAATTGCATGAGCATTTAGAAGCACTCCCTCATACTTCCTCATGTATCTCTCCTTCCACAGAGCCCAAAAGATTAACATAGATACTACCCTTATCATATTATGACTAAGAGAAAGAGCTTTAAACCTTCTCAGCAATCTCAGAAATATGCATAAAGGAGATTCTCCTAACAGAACATCAAACCCCATAATCACAGCAACTTTCCTCCAGACAGCTTGAGCCACAGTACATTCAATGAATAGATGATCAATACTTTCTCCAGCCAAACCACACATTACACACTTACTAGCCATAGCTACACCCACATTTTGTATTCTATCAACAGTAGTTAATGCCTTTCTAAAAATTTTCCAATTGCATAACTGAGCACTAGGAAAAATTTTCTGCTTCCAAATGCCTTTAGCTATATCAGCTTGAATCCCCTTTTTCCTAATCTGATTCCAAGCAGATTTAATAGTAAAAAAGCCTGAATTAGTATGCCTCCATATAAGTTTATCAGAATTCTCAGCCCTCACAAAAGTCACACTCTCAATCTCAGAACAAATCTGGGATTAAGCCATTCAGCTACCTCATTAAGCTGTCATTCAACACCATTCCATAAATCATGAATCCTAGGAAAGATCAAGGGAGTATTCACAACTCTAAGAATTAAGGGACCAGTATCCAACCATGAGTCACACCAAAAATCAGTGCTATGTCAATTTCCAACAATCTTCAATGAATTCTGAACTTTGAAATTGAACCATGGCCTCAACACTTTAAAGGACTGACCAGCACCAGTATTCCCACATCTTAGCATATGCTTTCCCTGACAAAACTTTTCTTTAAACACTTTGGCCCACAAAGAAGAACCATTTAAAATACCCATACCTGTGTTTATTCTAAATGCTGTTTGAATTTTACCAAAACTTATAATCCCCAAACCACCTTCAAATCTGGGTTTGGAAATATCATTCAATGAAACCCAATGCCTTCGTTTAGAGTCTATCTGACTAGACCAAATAAAATTAGCAATCAAAGAATTCAACTTACTCAAAATTCCTTTTGGGATGTTCAGCCAAGCCAACATGTGAATAAGAATAGAACTGAGTACTGATTGTACCAATACAATCCTCCCCATACCAGATAACAGTCTGGCATACCAACCCTCAATTCTTTTCCTAAAGCTTTTCACCACCTCTTCAAAATAGCATTTCTTGACCTTCCTCTGATAATAGGACATCCCAAATAAGTAAAAGGACAATCCTTAAATGGAATCCCCACCACAGAAGCCAGCCTATTCCTTCTGGATAAAGAAATCAGTTTAGAACAATACACAACACTTTTCAACTTGTTAACCTTCTGACCAGAACTTGATTCATACAGATCAATAAATTGCAGTACATTCAATACAGAACTTTTGTTGCCCCTTAGAAATATCAGGGTATCATCAGCAAACAACAAGTGACTAATAAATGTTGTTCCTCTCCCAATATGAAAATGTTTTACCAAATTCTGATTATAAATGCTCCTTAGCCCTCTACTCAGCACTTCCTCAACCAAGATGAACAAGATGGGAAAGAGAGGATCTTCCTGCCTTAGCCCCCTTGAATTAGCAAAATAACCATATCTTTGTCCATTTAAACATATAGTAAAGAATTGGCTACTCAAGCAATTCAAAATAATTTGATTGAACAAATCAGAGAAACCAAAGCTAGCCAGGACCTTCAACAAAAAATCTCATTCAATCCTGTCATATGTTTTCATCATATCTAGTTTCATAACCATGTTTCCACCCTCAACCTTCTTGTCTAACTCACCAACAAGCAGTTGTCCCAAGGCCACACAATCTTCAATCCCTCCCCTTAAACAAAACCATATTGCTCCTCAGAGATTAAAACAGGAAGCAGAGAAGACAGTCTAGTATTAAGAAGCTTTGTAAAGATCTTATATAAGAAATTACATATGCTTATGGGTCTGAAATCTGAAAATGAACTAGGATCCTCCTTCTTAGGAATCAACACTAACAAAGTAGAATTCACAGACTTGGGCATTAAACCTCCTTTAAGCAAAAAATTAATAGCTCTACCCACATCTACTTTAATAATATCCTAGGCAAACTGAAAGAACTTACCAGACATACCATCCGGCCCAGTAGCACTCTCTATTGCCATTGAAAAAACAACATCTTTCACTTCCTCCAAAGTAGCTTCAACAGTAAGCCTCTCATTATCTTCTTCACTGATAAGCTTAGGAATGACATCAAGTATGTGTTCATTGATGATATGCCTCTCAGTCTTATAAAGATCAGCATAAAATTCCTCAACAACTTCAACCACCTGCTTGTCACCATACACCCATACCCCTTCTTTATTCTTAATTCTTGAGACTTTATTTCTGACAACTCTAATTTTAGCAATAGAATGATAAAATTTGGTATTTCTCTCCCCCTGGATAGCCCATCTTACATTTGACTTTTGCTTCCAATAAATTTCCTCTCTCCTCAACCAATCATCCATCTCACCTTTAACAGCTTCTAACTCCAAAGCTTTTGAATCAAAAAAATTCTGGTCTAATTCCAGTTCAACTAAACTTATCTTTTGTTCAATGTCTTTCAATTTTTCACAGAGATTACCAAACACATCTATATTCCACATCTTTATATGAGTCTTCAAATATTTCATCTTGACGAACACATTTGACATTGGATTATCTGAGTAGTGCCCACTCCAATTAGGTGAAATCAGAGCCAGAAAACCCTCATGATCACACCACATATCTTAAAATCTAAAATAGGAGATTCTCTTCTATACAGGAGCATCCATAATTTTCAATAATAAAGGACTATGATCAGACGAGCCCCTTGCCAAATGAACCACTTCCATACTGTCAAACTTCAGATTCCAGTAAGCATTAATCAGAGCTCTATCCAACCTCTACTTCATTTTGATACCCCCAGTTCTATTGTCACACCAAGTAAATTTATTTCCAACAAAACCAGCATCCAACAGACCCCTATGATCCAAAAAATCACCAAACTCCTTCATAGATAACAAAGAAGGAGAAGCTCCCCCAAATCTTTCATCAGAGGATAAGATTGTATTGAAATCTCCAACTACCATCCAAGGAACATCAGAAGGATTATCAATATCCAACAAGTGATCCCATAAAGATCTTCTTATGAAAAGATCACAACTAGCATATACAATAGAGACCCAAAATACAACTGAATTCATAAATGTTATTTCAACAGTCAATACTTGATCATGTTCAAATATGACCCTCAACGTGATTATCTCATCCCATAAAATCCAAATATTCCTTTTTGCTAGAGCATTAGAACAGAAATGTTCTAGACCAATACTCCTAGCAAAAGGAACCAATTTGGAAACCAGCAATTTAGGTTCTTGAACTGCAGCAAGACATACATCATGCAATTTAATAACTTTCTTTAATCTCCTCCTTATGGCATCTTTACCTGCCCCTCTCATATTCCATGAAAGAAAATTAATCATGAGTTCATAGAAGAGAGAGCATCACTAGAACTAAGTCCATTACCTTCATCACCTTCATCAAAGGAACTCTCAGAATTATCAGAATCAACATTTAAAATCCTCTGAGATCTAGAACTGGCCTGGTCAGAATAATAACCCTTATTTGGAGGCTCTCTCTCCCTAACCAGACCAATCTGGTCATCTAAGGATCTTTGACTTCCTTTCCTGACAGCAACATCATGTTCCACTAGGAAGGAGGAACCCAAGGATTGAGCATAAAGAGTCCTACACTCTCCTAACACCTCTACATTATCATTGCTCACAATGTTGGCATCATTACTATCATCAATAATAGGTAGTATATTTTCCACAGCAGTTAACAAATTCCCTCCAATACTTCTATCATTAACCTCCTCATTAATTACAGAAGGCAATACAGTAGGGCAGGAAAAGGAAAATACCTCCAAGGTAGCACCAGCAGAAGATGGATTCATAGGCATTTGATTCCTATTACTAGATCCAGGATCCTCTTCTAAATTGTTTTCTTTTTGAATTTCCTTCAATCTGATATCAACATTAGTAGAGACTCCTTGATTTTCACATTCAGAAATCACTTGAAGATTATCAAGACTCACAGTATCAACTCTAACAGCTTTCCCTTTCTGAGTTTGGCCAATCAACTCCATAGTATTACCCAAAACAATACCATCAGTCATATCCTGTAGATCTGGAGAACCAATAACCATTTCCACAACAGAAGAAGAACCTCCATTATCATTAACTCTGTCAGGTAACCTTTGCTGACCTAGTAAAGGCATTTCTCTATCATTATTCAGATCCTCCACCACAATATCCTCATTAAGCACAGCAAAACTATTTCCCACCGCAGTAGTTTGAGGCATAGTTTTCTGTCTGTATTCCTTTCTAGGTTGCATTTTTAGCCCATCTACGGCAACAACTTTGCCCTTTCTCTTCCTCCATTCCTCATCATGACTAAATTCATTTCCAGTTTCATGCTTCTTCTCAGAAGTGTCACCTTCCACCTTCTTCTTCCTTCTACATAGCTCTGTATCATGTCCCTGCTTAAGGCAAGCAGGACAGTATCTATATTCTTTCTCATACACTATCCTCTGTCATCGACCACTAACTCCCCCCATATCTAGCCAGAATCTCTTAGGATTACTGGCTAGAAGGTTCATTTCAACACATGCCCTGGCCATACCAGGCCTAGAAAGGTTCAAAATGGTATTATCTATCACCAGAATCCTGCCAATTGGACTCAATATATCTCTCAGACTCTCTCTATTAAATAGATGGATTGGAAGACCAGGCAAGGACACCCATATAGGTACAACAGATGGTTCAATCCCAAGATAAAACTCTGGGAACCACTTGAAAAACCTAAAAAGGTAACCCTCAATGTAGGTGGTATCCTTTAGCCACACTTTAACATAATCCTCATAAAGAGAAAATCTGATCAGTACATGCCTCAGGTCTAACACTCCTACAGAAAAGTCTCCTTTCAATAGCCACCTAGAATTAATAAATTCTTTCACCACAACCGGTGAAGGCTTATCGTAGGCACATTTACCTATAAGTGTCTGGTTAAAACCTTTTGAAAGCTCCATAGTCTCTATAGGGGACCAGTACATCCCAGGCTCCCCTTTATTAAAAACTACTCTCTTAGCAGGCTTAGGAGGATTCGCAGAATTCAAAGAACCAAATAGAATTGTAGAAGAATGAACTTGAATCCCAGAAAGATTCTGACTATTCGATATAACAACTGGAACCTGAATTTCTTTCTCAAGAGCAGAGATCTGAGATTTTGGCAGAGCTCGATCCATCGAGGGACCTTGGGAGTTCGAAGTGGATTGGGAAATCAAATAGGGTTGGAGATGTAGGTTAAATCCTTGAGTGTTCTGAACAATTGAAGAATTAAAAGGAACCTAAATTCCTAACTCAGAGGAAGGACTTTGATTATTCGTAGAAGTTGACACAGCTGAAGGAAGAACAGGGGCAAACTGAACAGTCGGCTTGTTTCGATTCAGTTGAGAAATAAAAGGCATAGAAATGGTGTTATTACATCCCAAAGATCAACAATTGTCAGGGAATTAATCTCCGAAGCAATAGGAATTGTTAGAAAATTGTCCACAGGTGACGGCTTCTTGAACAACGAGGCAAAGTTCTTGGTGATGTCTGGAGGTTTTGGGGGAATTTCATGAGGTTCTTGGCCAGGACTCATGCTAAATCAATAAAAGCCAGTAAGAATTCAAAGAATTTGCAAAGAAATAATGAAAAATCAGTCAGAAACAGAGAAGATCTGAGAAGAACGTGAACAGTTTCTAGAGAGAAATCAGACCTTCTCTCTCTAAAACGAAATAACTGCATCCTAAACCTTAAACTCTCTAAACCCTAAACCCTAAACCCTAAATCCTAAAACCCTAAACCCTAAAATCCTAAAACCCTAAACCCTAAAACCCTAATCCCTAAATCCTAAACCCTAAACCCTAAACCCCTACCCTCAACCCTTAACCCTTAACCCTCAACCCTCAATCCTCAACCCTATACCCTCAACCCTCAAACCTAAAATCCTAAACCCTCAACCATCAACCATCAACCCTCAACCCTAAACCCTAAACCCCAAACCTCTAAATCATAAACCCTAAAATCCTAAAACCCTAAACCCTAACCGCTAAAACCCTAAACCCCTAAACCCTAAATCATTTCCAATTGTTTTGCAAAATTAGCATGCAACTTTGGTTTTGAATGGGCAAAACACATGGTTTTTTCAATACAACGAGGGGAGTAAGGCAAGGGGATCCACTCTCACCAGGTTTGTTTATCTTAGCAGAGGAAGATATGAGCAGGGGAATACAGGACATATATCAGAGGGGTTTTGTTAAGCATTTTCACATGGGGCATGTAAACCCCACACTTTTATCTTTATATATATATATATATATATATATAGAGAGAGAGAGAGAGAGAGAGAGCAAGTAATTATTTCTTTTGAAATGTTAATATGGTAAAAACTCAAGTAAATAGTATTTAAAACTTAGTTTTAGCTTGTAAATATGAGAAATCGTTTGTAATATAACTTATACCAATTATGTTTGATGTATAAATGTATGTTATGGAAGTTTGGGTTGGCTTTGGAAGGGTTAGAAATGGATTGGACATGAAAAATGGGTGAAAAAGGCAAAAAATGGACAAGCGTACCGATACACGTACCGATACATCAAACTCTAGTAGCTTATACGTACCGGTACGCGTATTGGTACTCCCATTAAAAAAATTAGATTTCTTCAGATTGCGAACAGCCGGCCCTCCTTCCACTGTAAATACTTAAGGACACTTCCTTTAGCCCTATTACAACACCTCTAACCCTAGAAAACCTTAGAGAGGAATAAAGGAAGAGAAAAACACAAGATAAAAAAGGATTTGCACTTCAAAGAAGATCAAAACTTCAAGTTTTGTTAAGAACACCATTCTCCACCCATTTTCTTCTGTTCTTTCACTTCACTCTCACTCTCACTCAAACCTCTTAGAACCCTAGGAGAAAATAAGAAGGGAACAAGAAAGGGAGGAAGAGAGTCGCTAGAGCTTGGGTTACCTTGGAAATTCAAATTCAAGGTAGGGGTTCCTTCCATTCTTAACCATTGAGGCTAGGGCTTATATGTATATGTATGTTTTCACTCTTATTTATATATATATGCTATGAAATCATCCTTTCTTGTCATTTTTGCAAAGATTACCATTTTTTAAACAAAGGTAGGATTAGATAACTATGAAAACTCTTTTCGTATCATAAAACCCTAGTTTTCAAGAGAAATGAATTTTTTTCTCTTGATTTTTCCCTTGTTCTTGATTTCAAAACTTTAGTACTTTGTAATGAACAATAAAAATGGATTGTTGATGATCTCTTGCTCATTTTCTTAAATTGTTCTCTTGTAATACAAATTGTGAAATTTAGAAATTTTGAATTTTCTTGTGGTTTGAGAAAATATTTGTTATTGCATGTCTTGTATGATTGTTGTGGTGGACTTGAATTGCATTCAAGCACTGTCGTAGAGTGCTAGAGGTTAGTCTATCCCAGTGGAGGTGAGATGATTTTCTAACGCTTGTAGTGGTTTGTTGTTTGTAAGAGCAACCACTATTGTTCACGTAAGTTCGAGGCTGAGGGATAGTATACCTTTTCTAGGAAAGATAAGTCAATGCCAAGAGAGACGGTATACGTTCTTCCTAAAATATTTGAGATTGTGTGATTATGCTGGATGAACAAGGTAGAATCTGGTGTAGATTCATGGGAAGCAACCAACATACATGAGAATATGGGATGACATTATTGAATGATTATTTGATTTCTATTACTTCGACATGCTTATTCCTTTCATTTAAATTATTGTTATTGAGTTAACTTGAGATCAAATCAATTATCACTGTTTTATTTCAAGTTATATATACTATTTTGAAAAGTGAGACCGAACTATTTTTTTTTTTTTTTCTAAACCTTATTCGAGTTTGGAAGAATGTTGCTACAGATTTTAGTGCTCATCCCTACAAACAATATATTTTTTAGATTTTGTACAAGAGGAGGAGCTCGGAGTCAATGAGCCGGTACATTGGGAAGTTCCACTAGATGAGCACATGGATCCCGAGGTAAATGCTTAGGGCTATACTCTCCTATGTGATAGACTAGGAAATTCCTTTTGAGACTATGTAAAGTCTAACCTTTTGTCATTCAACTGCAAAGTTCAAATTTAATTATATTAGATGTAATTACCAGAGTTCAACATATTCTTTTGGATGTAATGGTCATGATGTGGCATATTCTTTTGGAATGATATTGTAGATATTATGTATGAGAATAAAATTATCTTTATTTATGGATCTTATTAGTTACTCTCGTGATGTGAATGGATTTTAGATTATAATGTCGTCTAATGTAGATTTTAGGGCATTACAAAAATACAAAAATAAATGAATGAGATGCATCAGAGTCAAATAATACTCTTACCCATAAATAATAGAGTAGGAATGTACCCAGAATAACTGATTGATCCGCTGGCTTAGTCTGAGGTGTGATGGCGTAGACACGCTCCTGGGTTCCCGATATCCCGGCTTGTGAGCCTTGTCCTCGACCTCAGTCTCGACCCATGTCCTGGACCATCTAGCCTAATTGCAGGATCCCTGCACGTGTAGTAGGGGCCTATGCAATATCCTAGAACTAATACTGGCTTTCCTGACCCATGATGGGGTAGGGAGGAACAAAATATGTCTGTGTATACCCCATCGATGACTGGGACTAAGACACCCCATGACTCTGGGATTCCTGCCTCTGAGAATAATCCCGTTTCATGTGTTCTGACTGGTGGCATAAATAGCAAGTCTTCTGATTAACCTGATAGGTGGTCTTGAAGTTTCCCCCGCCTTAGGAGGATCGGTCTTGCCCTTGATAGCCGCGGCCATGTCCCTATTGTCCCTGTGGAGTAGAAGTCTTCTGTTTCTTCCCCGAACTAGAAGAAAAGAATTGGTCCTCCTTCTTCTTGTCCTTAGCACCCACTTTTCGGATGCTTTATGCGTCATCAACCTCTCTCTCAATGGCCATAGCTATCTCGATCATCAAGTCCAATTCTTGGAGGTGGTGGCCCACAATTTTATCCCCAAATAGACAATTTCAAGTCATCCTCACTTTGGTCATGTCTGTGGCCATGTAGTCATCGACGAAACGGGCAAACTCAGTAAACTTAGCCACATATTTCATCACTATCATTGTCCCTTGTTTCAAATCCAAGAATTCCTGGACTTTAGCATGTCGAACAGTCAAGGGGAAGTACTTGCCTATGAAGAGCTCCCAAAACTCTCCCCATGTCATCGCCTCTAGGTTCTTCGAAGCCCTTGCCCAATCCCACCACATATGGGTTTCTCCTTCTAGCTGGAATGCAGCTAGCCTTATCTTAGTGACATCAGAGGTAATCTTCATAGCCTCTAAGATCTTGTTGACTTGTTGGAACCAATGGTCAGCCACCATCGGATCCACCTCTTCCGTGAAAGTCAGAGATTTATGTGCCTTAAACTATTGTATGTTACTTGAGCCTCCTTGGCCCACATTGGCACTAGCTTGTGTAATGGTAGCCGTCATGGTACCGATAGCCTCCATGAAAGCTTGTTGGTCAAAGGTTGGTGGTGGTTGGTTGTTGTTCCACCCACCGCCTCGGCTGCATCCTCTTCCTCTATTTGTCATCTACACATATGTCAAATAGTAACAGAGCATTTACTTAGTATCCCAAAGTAGGGATCAAAGTTGAACATTTGAGATTTCTCTCATTGTCTCACTAGTAACCATTTACACCTTAAACTATCTCGTTCATTCTTTTTCTGACCCCTAAAGTTATATTCTCTAACCCTGGTGTCTCTTTTACATATACATTTAACCATACATAATCTTCACTTAACACATAACATGAAATGCACAATGAATGCAATGGTCTAGACCTATGCCCATCAAGCCCTAGGTAAATTATATACCTAAGCTCTAATACCAAGCTGTGACACCCCAAAAATTGGGGGTCCTTTGTCAACCCGTTGAACACCCATCAACCCGTAGATACCATGTAACTCGATATCACGCCATTATGCCCCATTTACCAGGGTCCATAATTTAACAAAATTTGGGTAGAGTCTCCTTTGTATAGGGAGCTCTACCCAAAACATAACATGTACTTTCATACAATATTGACCACACCGGATCCATTCAGGGGTAACATTGGCGACACCAGGTCTATTTATTCATACTCATATAACAACATGCAATTTTATATTAAAAATAGTTCATATGAGTTCG